CTTATCGTGAACCGACTTTATCAGGGCTGTCTATACTCTATAGTCCATCGCTTAATTAAAGAAACAACCAGTTAATCACTATAGGGGAATCGGCCCACCATGGCCACGTGGCGTCTTGTAGTTCGACGAGCAGAACATTGACTCAAGAGTGCTCGAGAGCAGGCGATTAAACCCCGGCGCCTCATATAAAGACCAGCCTCGCTGTCTCAACGAAAGCCGCATTTCTCCCGTCACTTCTAAAGCTAGAAGCCGAAATTCCTTCTTTTTTTCCCCAACTTCCTCTCACAACGCCAGAAATGGTGTCGATGAACCCGAACCCGGCCGAAGGGTTCTACCTGGATCCTAACGGAATGGCGCTCCCCGGGCTCGGCCCTTTCGCCAGCTCTACCGCGGAGGCCTCCAACCCGCCGGCGAGTTCCGCCGTCGAGGATCCGAGCAAGAAGGTCCGGAAGCCTTACACCATCACCAAGTCGAGGGAGAACTGGACCGAGCCGGAGCACGATAAGTTTCTCGAAGCTCTCCAGCTGTAAGTTCTTCTCTGCTGTAGTTTCGACTCTCCGGAGTCGGTTCGAGTTTGTCCTTAAGTTCAATTTAGGGTTCGTCGCGTGAAAATGGAGCTCGAGGCGCAGAATTTAAGCTAGCGTATTGCGAATTAGGCTATAGTTGGTGGCTACGCGAGATCGGTTTTAGTGAATTTGGCTGTATTGTGGAGTTGGAGCTGTTACTTTGATGATTATGGAGATGGATACGGCGGATTGAGCTTTTTGTATGATATGGAGACACTGTTCCACATTTCTTTTTCGGATTCTGGTTTTCCAGTGCATTTTCCTTATATTGAAGTGTGTAACCTGAGACTCCCACTAGCAGTGGGAGAAATGTGTCCTTAGGAAGGTGATGACTGTTTCTGGAAGCTACCTAGGGAATTGTTTAAGGCTTATCGAGCTGATGATGTAGGTAGACCATGACTGTTTCCGGAAGCTACGTAAAGAGTTCTTTACTTCTTTAAAAGGTTTATTGAGCTACTGGTTTAGGTAGATGCTGGCTGTTGCTCAAAGCTTAATTCATAATTCTTTGAGCTTTATCCAGCTCATGATGTTGACGTCGATGGACTGAAACAATAGTAAAAAACATCTGAATGCAAGATGTAATTGTGAATTTCCGGAACCTCAGAAGTGCTGCCATGAGAACTCAATAGGTTGTCTTAGTCTCCTAGAGTCGGTGGTGATGCGATTTAGCAGTCAGATCTGGATTACTGTTCCGTTTCCCAACAGTATTACACGTGATTATGTTCAAATAGTTCCTATGGCATTTTTGTCAGCAGAATGAACTCCTGGATTTTGACTTTATTTTATGGCAGTGTTGTCTTTAGTATGCTTTTGTGGCTTTTGTTGTCAGTTGGTAACTTTTAGCGCACGCTCCTTTGTTCTTGTGATCCTTGTAGCTTCGACCGAGATTGGAAGAAGATTGAGGCATTTATTGGATCCAAGACTGTTATTCAGGTATGTTACAACTGTTTCGTGGTTTAGTGAGGAACAGTCTCATAATGTGTGTTCAAGGGGTAGAGATATATCTTTACTTCATATTTTAATAATTACTGCTGTCATTAAAGCAAGAATGCTTTCATTATGAATTTTGTTATTTCATTGGAAGCTAAAGGAGTAATGAGATTGCTTGAACTGTGTTACTCTAGTTTCTGGTCATGGTGCCTTCAGATCTGGAACTTAATTTTGTACTATGTTATTTTCATGCAAGATTACGTTCAGTGTTGTTGGTATCAGCCTGCTGAAATTTAGAATGTACCTTTTGCAGATACGCAGTCATGCTCAGAAGTACTTCTTAAAGGTTCAGAAAAGTGGAACGGGTGAACATCTGCCTCCTCCCCGGCCTAAAAGGAAAGCTGCTCATCCATATCCTCAAAAGGCCTCAAAAAGTGGTAAGTTGTGTTGACTTTTGTATTGAGTATTAAATAGCTTGGAAATGTGCTGCTGATAAGGATTGTATCCCCTTATGATGTGTCTTTAAATAACAGCAGTTGCAGTGCTTCGACAATCTTCTGGATCTGTTCAGTCATCATCTGCTCTTCTTGAGCCCAGTGTTCCACCCGACTCCCCTTCAATGCCATTGAACCCTATTACAAGTGCAGCTGCAGTATCCTGGAAAAACAACATCCCAGCAGTGTCTTTGTCGAACCAAGGAAAAGGTTTGTAAAATCAAAGCTTACTCATCCTTTTTTACTGGTTTTTTGGTAGTTGGCTTTTGTTACAATTAGCAAAAAAGGTGGGAAACTTTGGTCACCAGTGTTTCTTTGTCTTTTCTGTCTTGTAGCGCCATCTTTGTCAAATAATTGTTGTAGCAGCACTGAGAGTACTCCAAGAACAAAACAAGTTGTTGAAGTGGCCGAGCAAGCAAATCCGTTAAGAGGTACATCAATGCCAATTCTTACTACTGTGGACTAGCCAAGTTGGGTACTGTATTTGTCATCTATTAGCATATTGGCTTTGGAACCGTCTTAGGTAGCTTTTGTAGCATGGTTATTTGACTAAACTCAACTCTCTATGCCATTTATGGTGAATGAGTACATGAATAACTGTCTATCCGTAGATTTATAAGTGGCATTTCTGCCTTTCTGTCTCTCCATATGGAGTGAGATGTCCTCTAGCGAACATGGTCTTTGGGCTTTTCTTAGTCTTCTTCAGCCTTTAGAGGAGATAGATTAACAGGGTTTCTGTTCGTCTTTCATGGAGCCGCCTATTGCAGTGCACTTAAATTTTGCATTAGTTGTATAGCTGGGAGGTGTTTGTTACCTTTTTCCCCATTATATATTGGAGATGTTCCCAAGTTTGAACCTTGGCAGGTAAATAGTTTTGATCTGCCACTACTACTATCTCTTTGGGCATGTGCTACTGCATTTTCTTCTTTGAACTGCTACTCCAAGCTTGGATAACAAGGCAGTCAGCATTACATATAATTTAGGACTGTTTAATGGTCCTAGTTGAACAATGATTGTTTCCGGTGGAGTTGTACTCACCTGATCATATTTGACAGCTTTTCGAACTTCGAATTTCATGCTGCTATCTATGCCAATGTGATCATGCAATTGCTTTTCTCAATTCCTTGCCACTAAAATGCTTTTTTCTATTGTGACTAAACTATTTCTGGGTGCTCTGCGGTTTTGTTTGATTGCAGTTCTGCCAGACTTTTCGCAAGTCTACACCTTCATTGGCAGTGTCTTTGATCCAAATGCTGTTGACCATTTGCAGAAGCTTAAGAAAATGGACCCTATAGATGTTGACACGGTATGATTATGCGAATCGGCTTCTGTAGCACAGTTTTACGATCTTTCTGAACTGTTCTTTATTGTCAATATTTATTGAAATTCTTTTTATGCATGTGACTTTTCTGTGTACTTTTATTACTTATTAGACTAGCAGATTGGTTTTCATAGCATGACTTTTTTCCTATCCTGTCCTTTTCAGACGCTGTTGCTGATGCGAAACCTATCCATTAATTTAACCAGTCCTGATTTCGAGGATCATGTAAGTGCCTTTTACACTTGATTTCACTTTCCTGCTCGAGTGACCTATTCGTAGTTTATTTTATTCGGGCGTCTGCATAATCATCTGTCTGTCTTGTCACTAGTGCCCTACACCAGCTGCCATTGTTCTTAAACTTGTAGTCTCCTCTCCCTTTCAGAGTGAAGCTTTACTGTAGATTTTCATGTAGTTTCAGTTAGACCTAATATTCATTAGTTCCCTAAATACTAAATAGTGTAGTGAAGCAGCGGAAAATGCAGTTTTACAGTCTTGCTTATTTCGTAGAAATGCTACAGGCTGGTTTGTAGCATCCCTGCATATACTTCCACCTTATAATTAACTGGACTTCATCTCGTGAAATTCCCTATAACATGTTTCATAACGGTTTCCATTCATCTTCACATTACGTTCAAATTTTGCGCATCAGTAAAAAGCAGGAGTTATAAAGAACATTAAGTGCATCAAGAAATGTTTAGTTGATCGAACTCATTAGTATTTGACACCTTCATTTCTGTCCCTTTCCAGTAAGTGGTAATCATTTATGGTCTCGTGACACGGTGTAATTTTGCATGGCAGAGAAGGCTGCTTGCTTCCTACGACACAGATGCGAACAGGATATGAACTGTTGCTTGATCCGGGCGAGGTGAATTGGCCGGACTGTGAGGGTCAGTAAAAGCTTCTACCACCAACAATTAAAGGTGCACGACGCGCTCTGTAACCGCCCACCAGTTCCCCCCTCTTTGGCCAGGCCTTCGGCCTTGTTGTAATCTCACAGGTAGTGTGTATATGGGATTCGAAGAAGAGGAGAAACAATAACTACCAGCAGCTGCTGCTGCTCCAGAGCGCGGGTGTATAGTTTCTGGTTCCGGTAAAGGCCTTGCTGTACAGCTCCTCCTGCGACGGAGGAAAGAATGAATTCACTCACCTAATTAATGAGAGTATGTAATTAAAGTTTTGATCACGAGCTTGTTCAGCCGTTGTTTAGTGTAATTAATGCATCCTCCACAATCACCTTTAACGCCTTCCTACGTGCAACCTGGGGCGTCAGTCTTGAGTTTTTGCATCCCGGTTCTTTGCTGTAGCCTGTTAAATATTGACTATTGAGTATAAGCCTTCTGAGAGCTCATTCTACCTTTGAGCCAGGCCTTGGCGGTAGTAACCTTACCTAGTGACACATCTGAATACTGATGTTTCAATTCCATGGCCTCAGCTTTCTGACATGTATTTATAATTATAAGCTGAAACTCAATATTTTTTTCTTCTTCTGTTCATATATCGAGCTCCTAAGTTCTGACTTCGAGGGAACTAATGCGAAAAACTATTCAAGCAGCAGAGTCGGGACATTAACGGAACTTGATAGATTATCTAGTGTCTCGGCTTAGTGAGTGAAATGGATTTACCTAATGTGATAACTGAAATTGCTTGACTATGCAGAACTGTCATGCACATTTAGCAAATTCACGCAGCTGGATCGTATTTTCGAGCAGGATTATTGAGATTCCTGCCACTCGGATATTCAGAATGAAAAGACACCTGATTTGGTACAGGTTTTTGAAGAAAAAAAATTGAAAAAAATGATTTGTGTATTCAAGTTTCCTGCCCGAGGTTGACCAGATACCATGACATGACAGAAGGAAGATGCACAAATTCGACTCAGCCCCAGTGGAGATGTTAAAAGTATACTATTGTAAAGGTCTTCGCTACTTTGAACATTGACTACCATAGGCTACTATTCGCTTCACATGCTCCCCTTGTTTCTTTCCAGAGTTGGGAAATTCCTAATCCTCAGCTAATTCAACTAGGACCCTAATTTTGGTACTTCTAACCAACATATATGGTTACGTATCTAGCTCAGAGACTAACTCTAATCAGAAGTGTCTGATTTCTAAAAGCAAATCCTGACTGCAATGAGGTGTATATAAGACGGTAACTAGACATGTTGCTCACCTACGACGTCCAATAAGATCTAAGCGTTGCCGAACCAAGGCCACCCCAAGTTCTGATCTGCAAACAAAGGCAAAAATAACTAACCAATTAGAGTAGACTCAGTTGAAATCAATCACTTGAGGCAAAACATAAGAAGTCAGGTTTCTACTCTACTTTTTCCTTTTACCTGGTCTGGCCAATAGGTTCGTATAGATGTGGACCTGATTACCAAAGGGGTAACACATGCTAGGAGGATAGGGCCCCATCTGATGCATAGGATGCGGCGGCGGCCGAGGAGGCAGGACAGGGAACCATGGCCCCATACCAGGAGGAGGTGGAGGAGGAGAACATATCATTGGTCCCATAGGCTTTGGAGCATAAACACATTTGGTCTGCTTCTTGTTCTCTGATTTCCTCCGACAGCCAAGCAACGGTGGGCAGGACTGCTGCTTACACAGTTCGCCGCCGGAGGCTTCATCCATTGGACATAAGAAGTCGTCGATAGTAATCAAACTGTCTTCATCCGGCCAGCAGATTTCGTCACTTGTATGAGGCTTCTCATGGAAATGGGTGGCAGCTGAGTCTACTGAAGTTTCTTGTTCACTTGGAACTTCTGGAGTCACTTCATCAGCATGCTCATCGTCCTTAAGGATCGTCTCATTGCAGCTTGAAGCGTCGACTTCGGATGGAAGAACTATGCCATCGTCACGGGAGGCCGGAATTGGTCTCTGCCCTCCAAGGTCGAACTCGGAGAAACCCAGCATCGAGAGGTCCTGGCTACACCGCAGGTCAGTAGACTGGCACGCAATTTCTTCCTCTATTAAAGCAAGGAGATCCTGATAGTCGGCATCATCGATCTCTGGATTGTCTTGCGTAGGACCAGAAGGGTTTGCACAAATAGTTGCTTTGTTGTCCCATTCATGCAGTTGCTGGTGATAGACAGAGGCAAGAGAGGTAGATGGGTGGGACTGGCCTGTACCTTCGTTACTTTCTGAAGGGATACTTGTCAATGGATGCTCGTTCAGCTTTGTGCCGTGATCCATATGTGCTTCTCCTGTTCCATGTTTGCCGTCGATACTGGACATGCTATTGCCAGCTGGCTTAACCCAAGATAGGAAGTAAGGACAGGATATGGTGGTCTGGCCAGCCTTACTCTGCAAAGGAAACATACAGAATGTCAGCTTATCCTAAACTTACTAAACCCTACAACTTCCAAGCTTTGGAAACCAAAAACGAGTGCCTCTTTTTATGGCTAACAGAAGATGCTCTAAATAAACTGAAAACATAATGCACTGGTTCCTGGAAGACTTCTACATTTGCAGGAAGGAGAGCTGACCAAAGTTCTTTCCCCAATTTATCATTGGTACTTGATTTTATCAACCATCATTATATAGATTAAGCCAAAAGTTACGTTCACTAGATGTTTGAAAGCTTGTCTATCTCCATCATACTTGATTTTGTTAAGTTCACTAAGCCAAAGTTAAGCTTAGGGGTAGTAAGAACTTTATGGGATTAAAATACCTTCAGTTTCTCGGATGTCCAACTTTCGTCAACTTCATACTTCTGGGAATCTCCTGAGCCTGTGGCGTTACTTGGCTCCTGGTTTTCTTTCTGATCATCTGAAATGTTCTTCTGAGTCTCCTGAGTTACTTGACGATCACTCCACAATGATTCAGATGTTTCTGAGCATATTCATAAAGAGAAGAATATTTAAGACAATTGTAGGCTGTAGCATGTAGGCAAAGAAATGCAGGAACTTGCAAAAGAATATCATCTGAGAAGCTTACCCCTCTGTTTTTCCACTTCAGTCCTCCGTGGTCTCAAGGAATCAAATGTTTTCTCTCTGCCAATGTCCATTTTCTCTGTTCCAGAATGGAGATCCATCTGAAAGACACAAGACCCGAAAATTCATGACAGATCAGGATGTCAACTTCACGCGTATCCTTAAAATTCCTAGGCTTACCCTGTATAGATGTGGAGGCCGATATGGTGCAGCACTTCGGGTTAGCAGATGACAGGTACTACCCTCGTGAATCTTTGGAGCAGAGTCAACAGCTATAGGTTCAGGTGCTGGCAGGAGAGCACCCTTCCCTAAAATTCCACTTTCAGGATTGTTCTTCCCTAGAGTTCCACTTTCAAAAGTATTCTTCCCTAAAATTACACTGTCATGATGATTCTTCCCTAAAATTCCACTTTCAGGATTGTTCTGCCCTAGAGCTTCACTTTCAGAAGTATTCTTCCCTGAAATAACACTGTCAGGATGATTCTTCCCTAAAATTCCATTTTCAGGACTAACTCTCCAACTAGTTGATAGAATGTTGCCATCCCATCTCGCAAACTCTGCATTTCAACAAAGTAGGATAGTATTACACAGGTCCAGCTGGACCATATACATTAACTTTCGAAGAGGGAAGACACAACAAGGGAAGCAACTACGCATGGCAAGCATCAATGAAATGATGCATTTAAAGAACATCAGACCGTCACAGAACCAACCACAAACACCATTCACCTCTTCTCTGGAGCTAAAGTAGTAAAATTTTATCTCAACAACCACTATAATGCCAGTTGCAAACAACTTTTATTAGATAGATCGTTAAGATTTGGAACATCCACATTGGTAGTCTATATGAGGATAGAACTATCCCTTCTATTGGAATTCAGAATTCAGTTTCCTTCCAAGGCTCTCACCTTTTGGTGGAAGGCGTAAACCAGCTCGGTTGAGTAAGGGTAGAGCAGCTACAAACAACCTAAACTATACACTAAAAAGTAGTTAACCAAGTGAAGAAGGAAGTCTTATGAACTCCTATCTACTTACTTCCATTCAAGAACCAATTCAAAATTGTCTTAGACTGATTTGCATGGTTCAATCTATGGATCATCCCAGGCTACTACTCACAATCACTGTAGGACTGGTTCTAAGTTCGTAAGCATCAAATATTAAAGAATAGACGGTTGCCTAAGCTTGTCAACTCAAATTCACGATTCTACTAGAGCGTTCACAGAACTAAAACCTCAAAGATCAGAACAAGAGATGAAATAAAGTCAAATGCGGAACAAAAGCTATGCCATAGATCGTACCAGACTCGGTCTTCGGCTGCGGCCAAATTGTAGGGCGTTCGTCAAGCTCACTGTCCAAAGATTATAAAGAATTAAACAACAGATGCAGTGATAGCTGAACTTATATGAGCACTTCAAAGCTAACGCGCACAGGTAGATCGCAATCTTACCGCAATATCTCGGAATCGAAGTTGCAAGGCAACCTCTGGCATATATCCAACACAGCTATGGACAAGAGAAAATCCGCTGAATACGCAAACTTCGAGCCTCTGTAAGCGAACGAAAGAAAGTATAAACGGATGTTAGCTCAGGAAGGAAGAAAAAGAAGGCCGTTATAACTGAAAAACAATAGACGTGTTTGATTGCCGAGAAAATCGTTTTCCCGTCCGTCGCGTCAACTTTCTCGGCGAAAAAAAAAAGAGACTAAATCAACATGAGAAACTTGACGATTGAGAGAAACAGAGTCGAAATTTTACTTGCTGAACGATGGCGCAAGGTCTCCATCATCTGCTCCTGATTCCTCCAGCAAGCCTTCAGACGGAGCTCCGGCGCTCATTTTCTTGAAAGCTCCAAGAACTGTGCCAGCTAGGGACGAGTTCGTCGTCGCGAAGTCTACCGAGAATCAAAATCCCGGCGCTGAACGATCAAAGACGTCTAATCTAAAATGCAGTTGACTAACCCTAACTCTTCAAAACCTCTACCCCGGAAATCTCAGTTTTACGACTCTGCTGTGCGATCAAAAGAACGGAAACGCCGAGAGAGCTCGAATCGGAGTGTGAGGAATCAACCGGCGGAGTTGGATTTCACCAGCAAGACCAAAAGAATATGAAAAGACTCCATGGTTGAGCTCTGTAGACTGCTAAAATGTGTTTGGCGAGAGAGAAATGGAGGGAAAATTAGCGTGATGGAGGGAGGGGGAATAACTCCGGGGCTCTGTCACTCTTCAGACTGGGCAGAAAAGGAAGACTGAAGCTGGCAGTAGTAGTACCTCCGTTTCTTACCATTTTCACAGATTAAGCCACTGGCTAGTTGTACGTTTTGCTAGGCCTATAGACATAGGGCCCCGCTTTTAGGAATTTTAGTTGGCTGTGATCAGCTGCGGACAGTCTCTTTTGGGGTAACAGTTGATCAACGGCAGAAGATGAAGCAGATTGTCATTTGCATAGTGATGTGGACGGTCTAGAATGAATTCGAAGTTTGCTCATATGCTTTCACGGATGGAGCAGATAATTAGCTCCAATGGATTGACTTGTAGCCCACGCAGGCACCAAGGGGTAGAGAGTCAGAGGGGAAATTTTACATCAAGTGATGGGCTAACAACAAATATATGTTTTGATTTCTTTTGGCTCGTGTTAACAAAATTTCTATAATATTCAGTTATGTTTTTCATGAAATAAGTTTATTTAAATTAGTTTGTATTCATAAAAAGAACCTATTTACATCTTGTTTGAGCCCGATCGACTGGGGGTCGTTCGGGTCCAAGGGGTTTGGGGTGTCAGCCATGACCTTGAAAGGGTGGGCGCCCCTCCTCGTCCGAAGCAGAAGAAAAGAAGAAGTATGTAGAGAGGGAAAGTAGAGAGAAATTAGAGTAAAGAGTAGATGGATCTTATTTATGAGGAGAGAACTCCTATTTATACACAATTGAGGGTTAGGTAGTGGTCTGGGCGCCTGCCAAGCCATAAATGCTCTGGTCGGGCGCCTCAGACTCTCTGACACTGTTCATAGTCCTTTTGGCAGAGGGTGTCCCCCTGCCCCTTGTCCTTGCTGACGTCAGGTGCCTGGGCTTGTCCCCTGTTCTCCAGCCTTGTCTTTTTCCTCTTGTCTTCTTCCCTTCTCCATGTCATTAGCCATGGTATCAATTCCTTAGTCACTATGATACCCTATCACATCTAATTCTCCAAATCAATCAACTAAATTTTCTATGCCATCTCATCATTTAATCATAGAATCTAACAATCTAGCTACAATAAATATTTTTAATGAGCTTAGCAACGTGTGCGCAAGGACCTATGCATAGAAATAAAATATTTTTCACTTGACAAAATACACTTGTATAATCAAAACTTTCACGTTGGTGCTACTTATAGTCATTTTTGGCCAAATACCACTTGTAGCCACTTTCGTCCAATTCTTTGACGGTGTCATCTAACGGATTGAGTGAACTAACAGAAATGATGATGTGGCAACTAATAATACTTATGTGGAATTTCTTTAATATTAATTAATGTTAAATAAAATATAAATATTAATAAACCAAAAAAAATCTCACGCTTCTTCTCCCTATCCCTAATCTCCGCTTCTTCTCCTCAAGCAACCCACCAACCGCTCACTCCTTCCGGCGGCCAACCTACATCCGCTACATACCGCAGCTTGTCACCACCACCGTCGCTGTAGCTTACCCTGATTCCATGGATTCTTTGGCTCCATCATCGCCTCCATCCTCTTCCTCCACCATCACATCGCCTTCATTCTCTCCAGATCCCGTCTCCTTCTTCTCCTCATCTAACGAGTCGAACGTCGCTGTAAGTGCTTACGGGCTGGACAAGAAGGGCTCGCAGAGAAGAAGCTCTCCCTCTCTCCACCAACCAGCCGACCGCTGAACCAGCATCTCTTCCCTGCACAATTCGCCCCCAATATAACTTGCACAATCGACGGCCCCAACGCAAATTTCCAATTAGGGTACCAGGTTGTTGTCTGAGGAGATCTAGAGAAGTTGACGATTTGGAAGAAGACAGCGCCGGCGAGGACGACGAGGGGCGAGGACGGCGAGGAGCTCGGTTCGGTGGTTGAAGAGAATCTCGAACCCGACTGAAACCGACCACAGTAGTAGAGTGCCCAAGAAGAACTTTCTAATCTTGCTGTCGATTTGGTTCTAGGCCGGCCTTGCCATTCCTATTTTCGAATTTGATTTTCTTCTTTTGTGCAAAAGAGAGTTCGGCTGTGGGCTGGATCTTATGTTTCCCTTTATTCTCAGAGATGTTGGCATGGCGACGTTGGCGAGGAGCCGAGGCCAGGTATTGGGTCTCTTTTCATTGGCAAACTGGTGTAGGGGGATTTGCGGTGGAGGAGGAAGCAAGGATTTGCGGGAAGAGGAGTAATCACCGAATCGTTCAGAAAGTAGAAGAAGATTGGTGGGTGATGGGGAGGAGTAATAGATGAATGTGGAAGATGATTCGTGGGGAAGAGAAAATTTGGGGAAGAACCCTAATTTCGATTCCGGCCAAAAGTTGGGGAAGAAGGATCGCGGCTCGTGCGAATCAGGTGGGAATATAAGGGTATATTTTTTAGATATAATTTTTATTTTTTTAAATAATAAATAATTTAAATATCTGAAGTGTTACTATTTGCTTAGTTGTCGCTGACGTGTCCGCTGAATTGGCGCCTCGTCAGCCGACCGTCAAATAAGTTGACAATGTGATTAACACCGTTATAGTTTCTAACGGAAATGGCTATATCTGTCACACAACATCTTTCAAAAGTGGCTATAAGTGGTATTTCGCCAAAAGTGGCTATAAGTGGCACAAACGTGAAAGTTTTGGTTACACAAGTGTATTTTGCCTTTTTCACTTTAAACATGTCCACTATTCTTGCAGAAAAAGAGAAAGACGTATATAGGTAGTGCGGATTTTATTTAGGAGAGGGGTCGAGAGAAGATAAGAGAATAAATTCTGTTTATCAACATTAAATATTAATAATAGCAAATAAAACAATTAATTTCAATAAGTTATAAACGAATACTAATAAATTATATTAATTTATTTTTAATTATATAGTTTTAGCTCCTACCAATTAGTTGATTGATTTTGACCCTAATATGCCGGAGCAGATTCGGTGAGTAACCTCGTGGTGAGTAACCCCATGCATAACCCAATAAGAATCTGCCACATCAGGGCCTCCTTCTCTCTCCTGAAAAAAGCATTAATTTTCTTACACAGTTATTATCAGTCTATTTCTCACTCGTTTTAACTTGGAATTTAATTTTTTTGCACAGTTAGATCAGATTAATTGTGTTCTTCAAAATGATATCCACTTTGATATTTTTTGGAACAAAAAAATTTTGCCAGTTATTACTAGTCTATTTTTTATACCATATGGTATGCGGTTATTTAATACCAGTCTATACCATATGGTATAGTCATATGGTATAGACTGGTATTAAATAACCGCATACCATATGGTATGAAAAATACCAGTCAATACAATATGCTGTTATTTAATACCAGTCAATACCATATGGTATTAAATAACAGCATACCATATGGTATGAAAAATACCACCTCATATCAGGGGTGGTATGGTATGGTATGGAGTTGGTAACGAGAGGTTTGAAATTCCCCCCCCCCCCCCAGAAAATTCAGAAAATTTTGAAATCCAATAGATCGTGATTAAATCGTTCCTTTTGTGCAAAAATTTCCGAAAATGACTAAACAACGAAGGAGATACCATGTGGTATGGAGTTGGTAACGAGAGGGATGAAAAAAAAATTATCAAAAAAATATTGAAAATGGATATCATTTTGTAGAGCACAACGAACTCGTTCCATCTGTGCAAAAAAAAATTGAAATCCGAGTTAGAATGAAGAAGATATGATCCAATTAAGAAAACTAGGGAAAATAAATTCTTTTAATTCTCCACCCTTAGATCTGTAGTCACTTAAAAGAAGGGTCCAGATTTGGTTACTCATTGTTACTCACTCTAAGGTATATGCTATGTCCTGCTTTTGGCTACCGAAAGGGTTATGTAGGTCTCTCAATCGCATGATTGCGCGATTTTGGTGGGGTCAACAGGGTACTGAACGCCGCCTACCTTGGGTCTCGTGGCGAAATTTGTGTCTGTCTAAATCTGAAGGCGGACTGGTCATTCAAATCATGTTTATTATCACCATCAACCGATTCCTCTCAGTTTGTCTCTTATTTTATTTCTCGTCTTTCAGGGACTTGGAATATTGACCGTTTGCGTCAATTTTTTACTAATGACTCAATTTTTGCAATCTTAAATATTCCGATTCCTCTGACCCCGGGTTTTGACCGTTACGTTTGGCATTATCAATCCCCAGTGGATCCAAAATTGTGGCCAAAATTATGGGGACTTCCCCTTTCACCTAAGCTCAAATTTTTTCTTTGGCGTATTATTTTGCGCATTCTGCCTGTCAGGGAAGACCTTAATCGCATGGCGTACAAGTTGAAGAATTATGCCCAATTTGTGAGTCCACAGAAGGTGAATCAGTCGAGCATTTATTTCTTCGCTGTCCGGTGGCAGTTGCTTTACGTAATTTGGTAGGGCTCCATTTGCCTCCTGGTCTCCTTCTCACCACCCATCTTTCATTGTTTTGGCGACATCTCATATTCAATGCGGATATCAGCTCTATTAGTTCCTGGGTACTATTATTTTGGCGACTATGGAAAAGTCGCAACAATGTTGTCTTCCTCCCCCACGCCCAGTTTACCATCGCCTGCCTTCATCGTCAATTACTGTCACACCAGGCCGATCATCAAATTGCCGTCCAATCTCCATTTCTCACCCAGGCACCACAACCTCGCCGACTACGTGCTCCACAATTGAGTTTCGGATTTCGGATTGTTGTGGACGGAGCGACATCATCTCCCACTCATGGTGCAGTTGGTATTGTTGGCGGTCAGGCTGCTTTTGGATTTGGGTGCCTCTACCAGGGATAATTGATGCTTCAACTGTGGAAGTATTGGCGGTCCGGTATGCTTTATTCCTCCTTTCCCGTTGGGGATGGTATGATCAACCTGTTTAGATTACTAGTGATGCACAAGCTGTGCTGGAGCGGTTACAGACTAATAATCCTCATGATGTGCAGTGCGGCGCAATATATAGTGAAGTGTTATCTCTTCTCCCCTGTCTACATTTGGTTACTTTGGCCTACACACCTCGAGAAGCGAACCGGGCTGCCCATATTGTGGCACGTAATGACCTTCGCTATCCTGATATATGTAATGTATTATTTGATTATTCCTATATAGTCTGTCTTTGAGTCCGTGTAGGGGTTGTAATTGCTGTGACCCCACACGCTTATCTGGTTAATCCACAAGGATTTCTATGACAAAAAAAAAAGGTTACTCACCCTATTTTGAGCGCTAATATGCAATCCCTTGTTATAAGAGACTAGCTTGTACCCTGCCCTTTGGGCAGGTGGTTTTGGTAAATTTGCCTTTTATTTTTCAATTTGATGAGATTGTTATAATTTTAATAGAAATTCTGAATCTTCTTATTTATGAAAAATAACAGTTCAACTTATCAAAATACAAAATGACGGCAAAACACAGATGATTTATACAAATAATAACATTGTCTGTTAGGTTTATTAAAAGTTAACAGAATTATACTTCATCAAATACAACTCATTTTAATTAAGAAAATCATTTTGTATCTGATAATTTAGGGAGGAAAAACAAAAAAAAACATTCTTTTTCTACCAACAAAAAAGGGAGAAAATCATTGTATCAAAAAAGGGAAAAAGCTCCAATCTTTTGCGTGTCTTTTTCTACCTCTTCCCCACCATCACCACCGACAAAACCCCATCCGCTACCATCTCTTCCCACTGCCATCTTCCCGTTCCTTCTATCCTTCTCCGAAATGGCTAATCCCAATCCCACCACACAAAGCATCGATAGCCCAATTCCTCTTAAGTGCTCTCTATCTTACTTCTTATTGGATCGGGTCAATCTCTCGCCTCGTCTCCAAAGGTAGGGATTTGGTCGAACTTTGCGACGCTGAACTCGTCGGATCTTGAGGTTGGAGGATTCCTACAGGGGATCTTTTCGAGGTATGGCTACCGGTTTCAAATTAGATGGTTGGGCTAGTATTAAAAATCTTCCTTGAGTATGAGTCGAGTAACAAATTCGAGATCTGGGTTTCTGGGAGCGCCGCCGACACCCGGAGATGGTTGGAGGAAGTTTCGGAGTAGGACTTGTCATTCAGTGTTAAGAAATTACGGATCAAGAGATTTTAGAGGTGAAAGGGTCAGGAATGATGAGAAGTGGGGTACATAAGGGAAATCCATGATCTTATTATCGTCGCGAGGATGACTCTTAGAGGGAGAAGAAATTGCGGATCTCGATTTTGATGGGCCATGAACGATGCACCCTAAGTGATTATAAAGATTGTGGATTGCCTGTTTTTGCCGTTACAGTGCAGAGCATTCAAAAAGCTTTAGCATGATCCAAAAAAAATAAAGGAACACGACGATTGGAATTTGGAAGGGAACGGTTTAGACTTTAGAGAAAAGAAAAACTAATAAAAAAAGAAGCCCGAAAGTTGCGGGGAAGCCAAGGAGGCTGACGTGGATGAGGGGGTTTTGAGAAACCCTTTTATATATTTTATAGATACATTTCGAGTTACAGGGCCCTAACTTAAGCTCTACAGGCCCATGACACCGAAGGCAACTCGATAAGGGCCGGACCAGCCCATCTAATACGAATATATACACCTCGGCCCCGTTTCTTTAGGGTTTCAATCCCCGTCTTGTAAACCCTCGCGAAGGAAGAGCTCCTCTGCATAATCTGCAACTACAGCCGCAAAGGGTGCCTCTTTTGTTCTTCACCTTCCATCTGCAGCCATGGTAATTAGCTTCGCCTCTGCATCTTCTATCTCCCATCTTCCGTTACTTGCTTTACTCCATGAACCGGCCCCTCGCTAACTTTTCGATGTTGCTGTCAGATTATCTCAGAGAAGAACAGAAGAGAAATCTCCAAGTACCTCTTCCAAGGTTTGTCCCTTGTATCCACTCCTTTCCTTTTAATTCACTTGCTAGAAGGTGTTAGGAGGATTGAACGAATGATGTTAGTTGGCGGGAAATTGGATGGACAATTGGTATCTACTGGAACGGTGAAATGGGTTATTGTGATTATAGTTAGGTTAAGGATTGTCTTAACTGTATCGTGTTTGTGGATGAAAGATGTCAGTTGGGATGTTTTGTGCCTTCTGGAGCCTGATAACTGATGCAAAGCTTGTTGATTGTTGCTGTTGATTGACATTCAGAGGGAGTGTGCTTTGCCAAGAAGGACTTCAACCTTGCAAAGCACCCTGAGATTGATGTTCCCAATCTCCAGGTGATTAAGCTGATGCAGAGCTTCAAATCCAAGGAGTATGTCCGTGAGACCTTTGCCTGGATGCACTACTACTGGTACCTTACCAATGAAGGGATTGAGTTCTTGAGGACATACCTCAATCTTCCATCCGAGATTGTGCCTGCTACTTTGAAGAAGTCTGCTAAGCCTCTTGGCAGGCCCATGGGAGGTCCACCTGGTGACCGCCCAAGGTACATTTCCCCCTGAGTTTGGTTTGCAATATACATGGATTTTGTGTCCTGAGATTCCCATTGCTTATACAGACTTGTTTGCATTTCAATTGATTCGTGTTTGTTCATATAATTACTTGTAGGGGTCCTCGTTTTGAGGGAGACCGTCCAAGATTTGGTGATCGTGATGGGTATCGTGGTGGTCCACGTGGAGGTGGTGATTTTGCTGGTGGTGAGAAGGGAGGTGCTCCTGCTGACTTCCAGCCATCATTCAGGGTAATGCGACTTTCTCTATGAAGTTATATGAAGAATGCTATGCCTATGTTCTGATTCAGTAGTGTTAAGATATCTGGGTTTGCTATCCTAGTTAAGTGCATCTATCTTTCATGGTGGATGTGATACAACTCAGCAATTGTCTCTCTACTTCATTCCCTTTGCATTTGTACTCTTTGGTGCCAGTGCCAATGGTTTAATTCTTATCATTTGTTTTCTTCCTGTGGTTTCCAGGGCTCTGGTGGAAGGCCTGGATTTGGTCGCGGTGGTGGCGGTTATGGCGGTGGTGCACCACCAGCTCCAAGCAGTTCCGGTGGATTTGCTTAAGAATGTGCTTGAAACTTTAATTTTGGCGGTCACATGGGATGTTTTCATATGTAGTCTTTGAAAGTTACGAACATGTTTTAGTATTTGGTTTCAGAGAGAATGGTAAGCTTGTTAGAGTCTCAAGTTCCCTCAGCAGTCCGTTATTGTAAGGGTTTGACAATGATGGATACTCCTTTTTAAGATGAAGATGCTGTCGAGTATTTTGTTCGTTACGATTGGATTTCACTTGTTCAAGTTACAATTTACCCTTAACCGTAATAGCGAGTTCGTGATTTTATTGATGCTGCCCGTTACATTGGTGTATCCTGAATGGGACATTAACTTGGTAGTATCTAGTCTTTTTGCAGATGTTAGATATCTACAGCTAGCTGTATCTAGGATGTTTCTCTGTTGGCTTAATTGCAAGTTTGGTCACTCGAATTGCTACAAAATTTCACGTTTGCCACTCAAATTAATTTATTCCATTTATAGTCACTTAAATTAGGTTAACAGTCCAAGTTTGGTCACTGGCCGTTAGTCTCCGTTAACTTTTGCTGATGTGGCGGTCAACTCTTATAGTTGACCGTTAGATGAGTGACGTGGCGATTAAAAAATAATAAAATAATTTAATTTAATTATTTTTTATTTTCCACCTAATTATTATAAAAATAAAAAATAAACCTATTTCCTTTTAATTGTTATTTTCCACCGCTGATGAGCTGCGTCGTCTTCGGCTCCTTCGTCGTCTGTTACCTCGCGGCGTTCTCGATCTCCTGCTTGCCGGTACTCGTCACACGAAAATGGATAACAAAAATGGAACCAAGCCGGAGGCTTTCCTTTCACCACTTCCTCCTTCCCATCTCTACTTCCTTTCACAGGGATGGTAACAATGGAGCAAGAAGGTCAAGAAGAAGAAGAAGAAGCCAACGCATGCAAAAGCAAAAGCAGCAGCAGCTGGGAAGAAGACATGTACTGGACTCACTTCAAGTTCACCCATTTCTTCCGATTACTGCATGCCGGCTTCCACCGCACCCTTGTAAGCTTTTCTTCATCTTCATCTTCACCTTCCAACAAATCTAACATCTTTACACTAATTCATCAATTGGGTCTACAAAAACATGCACAAATCGTCAACCTTGTAAGCCCAATCTTCGCATGGATGAGCAAATTTGACTGATGAAATTTAGTCCAAACAAATTACAGGCACTGCCTAATAAATTTTCCGGCCGGTTGAAATCCAAATTACCGGAGACCGTCACTCTGACGGGTCCGAGCGGAGCCAATTGGACCATCAGATTGACCACCACGACCTCCGCCGCCGACGCCCAGAGCACCGTGTGCTTCAGTCGCGGATGGAGCGAATTTGCGGCCGACAATTCGCTCCAGGTCGACGATCTGTTGGTGTTCAAGTACAACGGCGAGTCCCGTTTCGACGTTCTGATCCTCGAAACCCAAACATCCTGCGAGAATCCCGCCGCTTATTTCGCTAAGATGCGTGAAATTAGCGGCGAGCCGAAGGGGAGCCCCGAGGTCTCGGTGCTGCGGGTCTTCATCGCCAGCCCTTTATTGATGACCAGGGTCAGCGCCTTGAAGCAGGAGATCGAGAACGCCGCGAGGTACCAGACGACGAAGGAGCCGAAGACGACGCAGCTCATCAGCGGTGGAAAATAACAATTAAAAGGAATTAGGTTTATTTTTTATTTTTATAATAATTAGGTAGAAAATAAAAAATAATTAAATTAAATTATTTTATTATTTTTTAATCGCCACGTCACTCATTTAACGGTCAACTATAAGAGTTGATCGCCACATCAGCAAAAGTTAACGGAGACTAACGGCCAGTGACCAAACTTGGACTGTTAACCTAATTTAAGTGACTATAAATGGAATAAATTAATTTGAGTGGCAAACGTAAAATTTTGTAGCAATTCGAGTGACCAAACTTGCAATTAAGCCTTTCTCTGTTATTACTTGTCATAGAATTTGCCCAGAGGTTGTCAAACCATGTGCTAGTACTGTGGTGTGAATGGGCAGCACACAAGTTCCGCAGGCATGATCTGCTGCTGTAAGCATTCTATTCAGTCTCTCTTTGCCGGAATACAAGAACCAAAGTATGCTCAAGTTCCATCGAATACGGATAGCAGCGAAATCAACTACCTAGGATTAATCTGTGCTTGCTGCGCGATCATTCTCGATCAAGAGAATATCATGTAAGTACTCCAGTACAGAACTACAGCACATAAAACATAATCGAAGACCTTCGAAGATATTAATCTCTCTTTCATGGATTCCATCCAATAACGGATAGCAGTAAAATCAATTACCTAGGATTAATCTGGCCTTGCTGAGCGATAATTCTCGGTCGAAGATATTTAACTTGCGATTATGTCAGAATGGAAGAAGGCTCGGTCGGCGTACATATGTTCGACCTTAAGAAATTTTAACATCAATTGCAATGAACAAGATAAAAAGAGTTGGAAAACGAAAACCCTTTGCTGACAACTCAAGATAAGATAATCTCCGCATGGTTAAAACAGAAAATGATAGTAGTTTAGGACCGAGTACCAGCACGAAAACAAAAATAGCCACAAAAGGGTAGCGAAAAAGTCTGCAGAGAAAACCAATAGACAGAAAACTAAAGAGCGTCACAGTTCTAAAACTAAAGATAAAACTTAGTCGACTTCCTCCATCTTGCTCTCCTCAGCAGCATCATCCTCAAGTGGAGGCATCTCCGACTCATCGCCACCGGCCAGGTCGTCCTCATCAATGCTCAGCCCAAGCTTCAGCATCCTGTGAATCCTGGTTGCGAAGGTGTTGGGATCCTCCAGACTGAACCCAGAGTTCAGCAATGCAGTGTCGAACAGCAGCAGCACAAGATCCTTGACAGACTTGTCGTTCTTATCGGCATCAGCCCTCTTCCTCAGCTCGTCCATGATCCCGTTGTCCGGGTTGATCTCCATGGTCTTCTTGCTAGACATGTAGGAACCCATGCTGCTGTCCCTCAAAGCTTGAGCCTTCATGATCCTCTCCATGTTGGCGCTCCACCCATACTCGCCAGTCACCAAACAGCAAGGGGAGTCGACAATCCTGTCGGAGACAATCACCTTCTCGACCTTGTCACCCAAGATGTCCTTGATTGTCTTGCAGAGCTCCTCAAAGGACTTCTTCTTCTCTTCCTTCTTCTGCTTCTCTTCCTCAGTTTCATCATCAAGCTTCAAACCTTCCTTTGTTGCAGAGACCAGCTTCTTTCCATCATACTCCTTCAGCTGCCCGATGGCATACTCATCAATGGCGTCAACCATGTACAGGACTTCATATCCCTTCTTCTTCAGCCTCTCCAAGAAAGGAGAGTTCTCAACAGCCTTTTTGCTCTCACCAGTAATGTAGAAGATGTCAGTCTGACCTTCCTTCATCCTGGTCACATAGTCCTTCAAGCTGGTCAACTCCTCGCCACTCTTGGTGGAGTGATACCTCAAAAGGTCAGCAAGCTTGGAACGGTTGGTGCTGTCCTCATGGATACCAAGCTTCAAGTTCTTGGAGAACGACTCGTAGAACTTGTTGTAGTCCTCCTTGTTCTCGGCAATCTCGTTGAACATCTCAATGCACTTCTTGACGAGGTTCTTTCGGATGACCTTCAGGATCTTGTTCTGCTGGAGCATCTCACGGGAGATGTTGAGCGGAAGGTCATCAGAATCAACAACACCTTTCACAAAGGAGAGGAACTCTGGGATGAGCTCATCACAGTTGTCCATGATGAACACTCGCCTGACATAGAGCTTGATGTTGTTGGCCTTCTTCTTGTTGTCAAAGAGGTCAAATGGAGCGCGCTTGGGGACAAACAGGACAGCCTTGAACTCAAGCTGGCCCTCAACGGAGAAGTGCTTCACAGCCAGATGGTCTTCCCAGTCATTGGTCAGGCTCTTGTAGAAGGAAGCATACTCTTCCTTGGTGATGTCTTCTGGCTTGCGGAGCCAGATGGGTTTCTGCTTGTTGATGAGTTCCCACTCGTGAGAGACTTCCTTGATCTTCTTCTTCTTCTTGGATTCAGTCTCTTTCTCTTCATCAACTTCCTCAACTTCGCCTTCCTTTTTGGGCTCCTCTTCATCTTCATCATCACTGATTTCCTTCTCTGTGGTTTTCTCGGTCCAGAGGTAGATCGGGTAGCTGATGAACTCAGAGTGCTTCTTCACAAGATCCTTGATCCTCCTCTCCTCGAGGTATTCCAGCTGTGGAAAGAGATGCATTAACACGTGTCAACCATCTCACCAAACACATGTTCCTATCTAGCAATTATTAGATACTAATCCCGTCTATTCTGAATTCAGAAAAGATTATACAATCATTCCAATTCAAGATACAAACATGTTCTATGACAAACAAGACTACAAACCAGCATAAATAGAAAATTCGGAAATAGGATATGCTAACTGAGCAGGCAAAGGCACAAGTTCATTCTTATATTCACAAGGCCAACGGCAACAGTATTTAACTAGATGAAACCAGTCAGAGTCGTAATCGTAGGGAAAATTTTACCTGGTCTTCCTTAAGGTGGAGGACCATCTTGGTGCCTCTGCCGAGTTGCTCCCCGGTTGTGTCCCTTATAACGGTGAAGGAACCACCAGCCTGTGACTCCCACACATACTGCTCGTCATCGTTGTGCTTGGTGGTCACGATGACCTTCTCGGAGACAAGGTAAGCAGAGTAGAACCCAACACCGAACTGGCCAATCATGCTAACATCAGCACCAGCCTGCAAGGCTTCCATGAACTCCTTGGTTCCAGACCTCGCAATCGTTCCCAAATTGTTCACCAAATCTTCACAAACACAAAACGAAACCATTCTAACTCAGTAACCATCATACCATGCGCATACACATACTCAAACTAGGGCAAGCGAGAGAAAACATAAATTCAAGGACTGTGGAACTCACCAGCTTTGGTCATGCCGATGCCGGAGTCGATGATGGTGAGGGTGTTGTTGGCCTTATCGGGGATCAGCCTGATGAAGAACTCCGGCTGTCCATCGAGTTTGCTCTTGTCGGTCAGGCTCTCGAATCTGATCTTGTCCAAAGCCTAAAATCAACAACAACATCACAGCCATAGCATTCAGAAATCAGGATTCAATCTATAAACCCCAAGAGAGTTGGAACGGAATTAGGATTGAAGCGGGACTCACATCGGACGAGTTGCTGATGAGCTCGCGGAGGAAGATCTCCTTGTTGCTGTAGAAGGTGTTGATGATCAAGCTCAGGAGCTGGTTGATTTCGGCCTGGAAGGCGAATGTCTCGACGTCCGCCATCGTTAAACCCTCGGACTGATGAAGCGAAGAAGCAGTAGATCTGTTTTTTTGGAAGAGCGTTTGAGGAAAGAGAAAAGTCGAGGCGGGGGCGAAAGAGGGTTTGAGCGGAGGGAGCGAAGAGTGTATTTATATAGTGCAGTGGGGTTTCAGCCTTCAGGGAGGTTTTGCTAGGGCAAACACCAACAAGGTCAAGGATTCAGAAATTCTAGATCCTTCTCTGGATGGGCCCCCGGCTCTACTAAATTCGTGGCTTAAACTTGCAACTTGCAACTTGCAGGCCTTCTAAATCGCCAGACGAGCGTGTTAATTCAAAGGGAAAGTTACAAGAGCGCCGTCGTTTAGCGATTTCCTCCTGCAAGATCAAGAGGCAGTCATCCTTTTTCCTTTCCGTTGCGAACTGGTATACTTGGATTCTTTTCACTAGTAGCTTATTACCCGGCAAGTTGGTCAGATTACTGTACATTACCCACTTGTGGAATGGGAGAGAAAGCAAGTGAGAGTGAAGGGATTGTGATTCCACTTGATTAGGACCGACCCACTAATCCGATTCTTTCCGACCCGCCCCAACCTAAAGGGTCAGAAAAAGTCAATAAGAAAATACGAACGGGGAGGATTAGTAATATATCTTGACTCTTCAGAAGTGGGTCAAACATGATCAAGGTTGGGTGAGGGCAATTTTTAGCGCTAAGCAGAGTTCTGGGTTGAATAACTTTACTTAGGCCTAGAAATTAGTGATGATGCACACTGCAGTTTTTATTATACCATCATCAATCATCATTGAATTAGTCCTGGGCATCCCACCCCGTTGTCGGTCTGAATTCTAATGATGGCTTCATTCCTTGCACCAGCCATATCAGCGAGTTGTCATCTCGAGCATGATTTGCCTATGTACAAATGATACAATTAGAGTATGAAACTGAATTCAAAGAAAAGGAAAAGAGAATTCTATCACATGCCAATAAATACACACATAATAGTTGAAGCTAAGTGAAAGTCATTACTCGCACATCAATTCTCAAAAATTACAGACTAAACAATGGCTAGAATGGCACTGAAACTACCAAGAATCATGGACGAAACAACTTGTCAAATTAAATAATCCTTATACTGAAAGTACCTTCTAACTTGAAATAAGACATGATCACAGTTCATAGCTCTCTTCTCACTATGAATTGGTTGCAGCTCGTCCTTATCATTGCCTCCCAAGCTCAATTCAAACAAAATAGAGACCGTTATGTAAGATAACCATATCCTTACTGATCATAATTCCTTTCTTCACTCCATTTTTGTCGGAGAAAAGAGTTATCCCCCTCTCCTGCATTTCCCTTTCCCCCTCTCTTCTCTCTCTTCTTCACAAATCGATCCCTAAACCAGCAACAACAACACAAAAATAGCTTTCGCCTCTGCCGTCTCCATCTACTGAACGCGTTGGTGGCAAGACAGGACTACAAAAGCAAAATTTTCTAAACTCAAACTAAATTTTTTGAAGGAGACTCAACCACGAAAAAAGAGTAAAGCAACAATGCTAATAGTTCAGATGGTTGGTTTTGATGTTATACGTTGCTTTTGTTCTGGTCTCCAGTATATCAACTGCAACAGAGATGTTTCCTCCAATCATCTTTAGTGCACGATTTAGAAGCAAGTCCTCCTATTTGTGTCAAACGGAAACATTCATGGGTTCTTAACTCCCCTGTTAGTGTAAATGCAGCAGGAGCAGCAAAGAAGTTTGACAACACAGCAAGCACCCAGGCAAAATGATACAATGCAGTAGGTGATATGTGTCTCGAAGGTTTTGAGTTACTAAAGTTCATGTTAAAAATAAACATGAATTAAAATGGATTATTCTATTAAGCAAACATCCCCTCTAATCATACAAAGATCAGATATACAATTCACAAACATTAAGTCAT